AAAGAATAATAGTCGAGTTATATTTTTTTAATAAATATAAAAAGTCTAGATAATCTTGTTTCTTGTTATTCTTCGTGAATTTTCAAATAAATAAAATATTCATTTTATTTCCTATAAGTATCCATCAGACGGGTACATGTTTGAAAACAAGAATCGAATGATAAATTGCGTATATTTATTCTGATATAAACTAGGTCATCTTTTTATTTAATTCTTTTATCATATGTACATTGGATAAATAAAGATCAAATATTCTTTTTTTATTTGTTTAGAGAATATTAACTTGAAATAAAAATTCAACAAAATGGTATAAAATTTATTTTTTATAATATTTCGAAAATATATTTCTATTTTTGTTAGACAATCGGTGAATGTATTCAAGCATTTGATCATATGACATTATGGGTTGGCAATGCTTTACAAGTAAATAAATGTACAAAAGAAAAATAAAAAAAAATTATAGTATTTTTCTAGGCATCACAATGGTTTTGTTTACGTTTTGGATATGAACCACATGCATATCGTGGTCTTGAAACAGGTTCACGTGATGTTGTTTCACATGTTATTAAACAAAATAAGATAATCATTGTTTTTCAATCACCATTATTACCTGATAATCAAGAATATGGTGAACATCTTGTTCGACATGGTGATGGTGTAAAAGATGTTGCATTTACTGTTAATAATCTTGAACAAATTATTGAACAAGTTAAAGCTAAAGGAGGAAAAATTGTCAAAGATATTTGGACAGACACTGATCAACATGGTTCAGTTAAAATGGCCTGTATTCAAACAGTAAATTATTGTAGATATTTCTTGTAAAAAATTTACATATATATATATTTAGTATGGGGATACAACACATACATTAGTTGAACGTGGTAATTATTCTGGTTTATTTTTACCAACTTATCAAGAACATCCAATGAAAAATAAAGATCCTTTATTAGAAAAACTGTAAGTAAAAAGAGAACTTCTTTATAATTAATCTAATAAAACTTTAATTTGTTTATTTTTTAAGTCCAGAAACTAAACTTGATTTTATCGATCATATTGTTGGTAATATGCCAGATAATGAAATGGAAAATACAACAAAATGGTAATGATATTATTTTGAATTTTATATTTAAAGAATTTCCTTTTTTTTTTTGAAAATTTTAGGTATGAAAATACACTTCAATTTCATCGTTTTTGGTCAGTTGATGATAGTGTTATACATACACAATATTCATCACTTCGTTCAATTGTTGTATCAAATGCACAAGAAACAGTTAAGATGCCTATTAATGAACCAGCATCAGGCAAAAAGAAATCACAAATCCAAGTAGAAAATCAAATATTTCTAAGTTGTAATTAACAAAAACAATTTTCTATATAGGAATATGTTGATTATTATGGTTCATCAGGTGTTCAACATGTTGCATTAAATACATCGGATATTATAACAAGTGTAAGATATTGACTGAGTTACTTTTAGACATAATTTTTATATCTGTCGTAGGCTAATCTCGGATTAGCCTAGGTCATTCTAAGATCTCAGTTTCGACTAGTTCAAACTAGGATCAAGTCAAAACCTCAGATCAAAACTCAATTTTGGTCCTGAAGATGATTTCGGTTTGCCTATTCGAAACCTATAGCCAAATGCGTATACTTCATACACAAACCATTTCATTCTGAGCAAGATTATCTGTTTAAAAAGTTATAAGCATTTTCATTCATGAATCTACGTTTTGCAGAAAACTATTAATAACTTTGTTATCACACAATTTTGCTCAAAATGCAATGATTTGTGTATGAAGTATATCCATTTGGCTGTAGTTTTTGAATAAGTAAATTCTGGTTTGAACCAGGCCAAAGTGAGATCTTAGAATAGCCTAGTCCAGTCTAGGATTGACCGGAATCCCACAATGGCCTACGACATATTTGTAAACTGACGGCATTCGCGATAAGTATCAGTACTACATTAATCATTCGTTTGAATCTAATATAATTAATTCACAGAGGAACTAATCGGATAGCATTTATCGTCGATCTAAGAAAAATTTATCATATCTTTTTTATTTATTTAGGTAACCAACCTTCGTGAACGTGGTACACAATTTTTACAAGTACCCAATTCTTATTATACTGATTTAAGAGAACGTCTTAAACATTCCAAAGTACAAATTACTGAAGATTTATCCATTGTAAGTCATATATATATTCATATATGAATTTTTGTTTTGATTCTATAACATAGATTGAAAAATTGCATATTTTGATTGATTATGATGATAATGGATATCTTTTACAAATTTTTACAAAACCAGTTGAAGATCGCCCAACATTATTTTTTGAAATCATTCAACGTAAAAATCATACTGTAAGATAATCGATTAAATATTTCAATGGGTAATAGAAATGATTATATTTTTTATTTTATTTAGGGTTTTGGTATTGGTAATTTTAAAGCATTATTTGAAGCAATTGAACGTGATCAAGAAGCTCGTGGAAATCTTTAAGAGAATTGTTTTCGTTTTTCGTTTTAAATAAAACTTTATTCTCCGTGATCCCTAACATAAAATACTCTATTTCTTTTTATAAAACATAACCTTTTTACTCAGAAACTAACCAGATGTTGTCCTAATGTCGAACGGACTCCAATTACTATTATCTCGCTCGTTCTAATTCGATTCTATATAATCAAATAAACAGCATGACGGTACGCTTAGTATTTGCTTTCTTAGAATCGCATTATGAAAGAATATTATTCCATCTACAGTAAATATATCTAGAAGATTCTGTATTTATTTTGTCATTCAATGCTTTTAGAGAAAATTGTATTCTATTGATTGATGAATTTTTATTAGCTTTCCAAAAAAGAACATTCAATCGAAGAAAAGACAAATGATGACAACAAAAAAAGAGAATTAGAACATGTCAGCGAGATTAACTAGATGACCGTGTATATACAAGGGTTCATTTAGATTCACATGCGAGCCAAAAAGAAGGCACCAACAACCATAAACAATGCACTGATTGTCATTTTTGGTGTAACTGCTGAATTACATAAATCTTTTTCACAACATACATTAGCCAAAGTTGAACCAACGTTAGCCTGTAATAAAATAATATTTTATTTTAGTTAACTCAACAAAACTATAACATACTTGAGCGTCACAGAGATCTTTAGCACATCCACGCTTAACACCAGTTGGTAATGCTGTCTTATAGCATTTATTTTCATCACCACTACATGTCTTAATCGAATCATGTAATTGTGGACAATTGGCTGAACACATATCATGTTGATAACATTTAATAGCTAAAGAAAAATAATTAAAAATAAGATACATTAATAGATTAAAATTTACCT